GGGCCCTTTTTTCCGGGGTTTTTCAAAGCCTTCAAAAAAAAAAAAAAAAAAAAAAGTAGTAGGGTGGGAGGATGTTGGGGGGGGTTGGACAGAAATCAAAAAAAGAGCGTGATGACTAACACTTAATCTAAACAGCTGCTGCTTAAGAGTTTGAGAATTGCCAGTAAGTACTCTTATATCCGCTCACATTCTCCTCTAACTTCTACTCTACTTCTCCTCCCTCCCCCTTCTCTGCTTTTTCCCTGCTTTCCCTCGGCAGCATTCAGCTCTTCACCCATTTTCCAGTGCCTGCATTTTCTCATCCCCCCCCCCGGGACACAAAGAAAGCCGGCTGCAGACGGATGTAGGGGTTGACCTCTGCGAGGTTTCTCTGGTGTAGATTAGAGAAGGGCAGCTGGGTGGAGAAGACGACACGATGTGGTAACAAAACTTAAAACTGTCTTAAAACTTAGAAACCTGCAAATCAGTCCAACTCTGGTATTTTAAAAAGTAGTTCAAGAACAGCAAAACCGATCTTTAGCCTTACAAGCACCTGGTCAAGTTTATTTGTAAAGCACGTTTCGGTAAAAGCGCTTTACAGCATTAAAAACGTACAACAGCGACCGTTTATGAAACAAGAAGTAAATACGACATTTTGTTGAATCCCATTATCCAAATCATCAAGCAAATACATGAAATGAAATGTGAGAAATGTCGACCCATGTTCCACTTACCGGTGCTGCTAATCAAAGGCAGCTCTGAACAGCTGGGGTTTAAAGGAACTCAGTGTTTCGACTGTTTTGTAGTTTTCTGGATGTTTGTTTCACATTAGAGGAGCACAGAAGCTGAATGCTGCTTCTCCAAGTTTGGTTCTGGTTAATGTACTTTGCTGCTTAGCTGCTCAGTTATTTATTGACCTTCTTATTGACGTTTTAGGCAGACCTGTGAAGACACTGCCGCAGTGATCAACTCAACTAAAAATAAACACGTGTACGAGTATCTCTAGATCTTGCTTCAATCCTGGAAATGTCCTTCAGGTGACAGAAGGCCGACTTTGTAACTGTGTTCATGTGACTCTGAAGGTTCAGGTCAGAGTTCATCACTACATTCAGATTTCTAGATCTCTAGTTTCTAGCTGTAATAAATGAAGCCATTGTGCCGACTCTAGATCGCTCCAAAGATAATAACTTCCGTTTTATTTCTGTTCAGCTGGAGAACATTATGGTGCCATTCACTGATGTCATTGATGGCGTCGCATTTACTAATACCATGATTAGAATTACTCATTGTCAGGATCTGTACAAAAGCCTTAAAATAACAAATTTTATGCAGCTATGGATTTCCAGTGGCTCTTGGATATTGATCTTGTCTTTCTTACCATCCTCTGCTTTGTGTGTGGTAGACAGATACATATTCATCATGCTTTGATTGGCACCGTTGCTTTAAACTTTTTGATCATTCCTCTGACTCTAGATATCATTTTAGGTGATTGTCCAATTTCTCCATTTCTTGATTAAGAACTTGGTGGTTTAGGACATTTCCTGACTTTTTTTTTTATGAGTGCAATTTTCCCTTTTTAAGGAGTGGCTAAGAAAACAAATTGTCTCCAGATAGCAGGTGTAAAACCTCCATTCCTCGAGGGCTTTTGTCTCTGCAACATTTCACTGTGTCTCTTCATCACTGACTCATATAATTAGGTCATTAGCACGACTGACATAACTCCTACA